GATTTGGGGCAACTTTGGGCCATTGAGGCCGGGCCAACTTCAATAAAAACTAAACAGCCTCCTTTTCTTTTCCTTCTTTACATTTTGCAATGTTAGCCGTTTTAACTAACATAACACTTAGAACTTAAATCGCAAAATTAACCCTTTTACCAGAGCGATCTATTTAAACTAATTAATTTGTGAATTTCAAATTTAACTAATTAGTTGAACCTAAGATGTAAAAGAAAATCAAGAAAGATTATGTGTATTTTTATATTTTAACAATACTTTTAACACATGATTAATTCCTAACATGCAATTAAAATCCTAAGCTAAATTAAATACAACAAGACAACAACAAAAACAACCCAGTATAATCCCATTAGTGGCGTCTGGGGAGGGTAGTGCGTACGCAGACCTTACCCTTACCCTGGGGTAGAGGCTGTTTCCGATAGACCCTCGGCTCCCTCCCTCCAAGAACTCTCCACCTTGCTCTTGGGGTAACTCGAACTCACAACCTCTTGGTTGGAAGTGGAGGGTGTTTACCACTAGAGCAACCCACTCTTGTCTAAAAAGAAATATGAAAAATATTTTTCGTGATTTTTTATGATTTAAGATATTAAATATGCACAAAAATCCAGCTAAATGCAAATAAACAATTAAAAAGAAATTCCTAGAAATTCTATAAAAATAAAAAACAATTAGAAAAATTTATTTTTGTGGATTTTGTAGGACTATTTTCATAGTAAATTACATGCTCACAATAATTATATACAAAGTGTATATAAGTCGTATGTAAATTGTAGCTTTTAACCGGATCTTGTACAATAAAAAATTATAGTCATGTTGTATATAAATTGTAACTTTTGACCTGATTTATATATATATATATATATATATATATATATATATATATCTTAGTCACTTTTTGTAAATAGAAACACATAGCTAATATCTGATAAATAAGTTTAAAATTTTGCATATATATAAAATAAAAAATACCTTAAAAAATAACCCAAACACCTTGCCCAGATTCTTGGGAGAAATTCAAAAATAGCCAGATTTACCACTGGTCGTTGAAAAATAGCCAAGTTTCAAAAGTCATCAAAATTTAGCCACTTTAAATCTGAGCGAAAACACTTTTCAAAATCCGGAAAAATACGGCCGCAAATTTTACGGGAGTTCCAGCATAAGTATGCTTGAACTCCCGTAAATTTTATGGGAGTTCCAGGATAACTATGCTGGAACTCCCGCAAATTTTACGGGAGTTCCAGCAAGTATAATTGTCCAGTATAATATACTGGAGTTTGGAGCACTGGTGCTCCAGTCTCCCGCAAATTTTACAGGAGTTAGCAAAGTATACCGGTCCAGCATAATATGCTGGAGTTCGTACACAAATGCACCAGAACTCCCGTATATTATACTGGACCGGTCCCTGTTGCAGCAAAATAGTGGCTATTTTTCATTGACTTGATAAACTCTGGCTATTTTTCATTGACCAGTGTGAAAACTGGCTATACCATGATATTTTAACCAGATTCTTCGTAACTACCTAGCCCAATTCTCATAATTATTAGGAGTGACGTGTACATAACAATTCCCCATTAATTAAGGGGTTTTGACACAGTTACCCACAAAAATAAAACTATCTACCCTTGTCTACCCGTTTATTTTTCTACCCATAAACTAATTACATTTCCTACCCATAGTAGGAATTTTTTCTTTATTCTCCAATTATTTTTTATTTCTATGCTTCTTTTATTTCTTTTTTTCTTTCTTTTTTTCTTTTCTTTCAAACTAGAAATCTTCAAAATAAAAATTTTAAATTCAAGAGCTTCAAGCCCAACAATGGTGAATATTCAAATACACATAAAGCTAGAACATGGGAGTACTGGTTTTCTTCGTGTTCATACGCAAACTTTCCCCAAATGATAATGGCCGCAAGTTTTAGACATAGGCTAAAAAAGTTCTTAAATTAAAGCGGGTCAAATAGCAGAGTACTAAAAGTGAAGTTATTATAATAAAACTAAAAAAAAAAAAAAGTAAAGAATTCTAACTCTCTTGACAAAGAAGCAGAGTGATTAAAAACTGGACGTATTTGAAATTAAGGAGCCCTTTATTGCGGTTGGTGAGGCAGTGGCAGTGCGAATGGAATAAAGGGCGGGTAAATAGTTTGGATCGCATGGGTAGGAAAAGTAAATAATTTGGACATGAATATTAAAGGGTAAATAATTTGAAATTAATGTGTATAAAGTGAGATTTTTTCATTAAATTAACCATTTCAGACTCATCTCTAGCCTAGTCCAACCCCAAATAACTTATTTCTAGCCTATCCCAACAAAATCCATTAAAACCAAATATTTCCAAAAGACAACTCTCTCTTTCAATTTATTTTTGTCTTTTCATTCTTTTTTAATTTTTAATTTATTTCTTTCATTCTTCTATCGTTTTCTTACCAAATTTCATAGCAAAATCTCCTCTCTAATTACAAAAAATCAGAACCTTTTCTTTCTCTTCCCATTTTCCATTTCAAGAATGTATTTGTAAGGAAATAACAAAAATTCAATCTGATTTTCAAGATCAAAGCTTTATATTCCTTTCCTTTTATTCAATATCTGAATTTGTTTGGTTTAAACTTTTCATACCATAATTTTCAAACAGTCTTTTCCTTTCTAGTTTAGAATCCTAGGAGGACCAACTTTTAGCTATAAATAACGCAGTTGAACTACTTCTTTTCATACACATTCACATTGTACACCCACGTTTATCTACCGATTACGTTTTTGCTCTACGACATCACATAAGTAAACTTGTGTGACTTAAGGATATTGGTGTATCGATGCAAGACATGTCGTCCATATCACATCAAACCAAGGTCTACGAGGACCAAAAAGGTCCATCGTGACAACTCATTGGTTTGATGTGAAAATCTGATGACAAGTGTTGCAACGGTAAATCAATATTCTTGACTTACACAATTTGCTCATTGATAAATACATTTTCTTGGCGCAAAGAACTCAATTTTTCGTGATTTGGTGAGAACTGGAAAAATCTATCTTAATTTGAAGGATAAGAATACGTGCTAAAAAAGTGTGTTTGTATACCCAAAGATAAGCAAGATACACAGTTAGATGTATAATGTGTTAATTATGTTAGGGATTAATATTGATTTCTTCTTTCAAAGTACAATGTATATCTTACATGTTTAGATATTGTTACAGTTTTTAAGTTTTTTCTATATCGTAAACCAAAAAAAGGTGAAAGGAGAGATTAAAGATCTCATAAAAAAGGATAAATTGCACAAAAGTACCAAAAATCAAACTATTACCCACCAACACTTTCACATAGAAATTTCTTCACTAAACCTAAATATTGGTTGTAGCTCATTATGTTATATAGTCCCATTTATGTCTAAAATGATTTCCAGATTTAAGAAACAAATTAAAAAGCATTAAGAGAAAAAAAATTCATTTTCTTTTCAGAACTTAAAAAGCACATATAGAGTAATTATTTTGCCTTTCTCTTCTCTAATTACCCCTATAAAGATTGTGGCATCTAAATATTTTGAAAAACTACATAATAATGCACTCCATAAGTTGATCTTGTATTATTTTAGCCCACTTACAAGTTTGCAATGTGTAGCCAAATATCAATAAGCTTAGATTTGATTTTTTTTTTCCAGTTTTTTCATTCTCTATATCTTCAAGCGTGAAATATTTCCATTCTCCTTTTTCCTCAAGTTTCTACATACCTATCACAACTACGAAAATTCACAAACAGACGCGAGAAATCTAAAATCTCATCTTCTTTAATGCTAATCTTGTTAGTTTTTTAATATGTTATTGTGAGAAATTTGGAATGGATATTGTTTGAACTTATTATAATTAGTCTAAGTAGATTGTATACAAAGTTTGAAGTCATTTAGTGGAGATTTGGAATAGTTTTAATCATGAATCGCAAGTGAAAATCGTACAAAAAGTTCGTCAGAAATGGTTATACACTTTTATACAATATTATACATTTTTATACGAAGAGGTATATATATATATACATAGTTGTATAAAAGTGTATAAAGATGTATAAGCAGAGTAGTGAAAATATTCGTGATACACCACGTATATAGGGTGAAGAAGAAGAAGAAGAAGAAGAAGAAGAAGAAGAAGAAGAAGAAGAAGAAGAAGAAGAAATGCGAGAAATCCACCAAATACCTGTAAATAATATATCAGCCTTGTATAAAATAATGTATAAGAGGTGCTTATACACTATTATACATTACTTATACAATATTATACACTATTATATAAATGAATCCTATTAATTGAGCTTCACTGGTTCTTCTTATTCTTTGGGCATCTTCTAAAATTCAACTCAAATATAGCTCAAATTTGCTCCAAATCACTTCAAATTTGAGTTTTGAACTCCCCTTAACGATCCCAATCAATTGGGCCAACACCCAATCCAAACAACTAACAAAATCGAAAAATCCAATTTCTGAAATTGACGCTTCGAATGACCTTTAATGGTGACTCCAAAAATAATAATTCTCTTAAGTGGTATTTTTTCTTCTCATCTTAATAGTGATTATCAACTTTGAATCTGGAAGGAGAATTGAAGAATATATATAATGGTAGAGCAATTTTGGGGTGCAAAGTCGTGAAAGAGGGAGAAAAAGAAGAACGAAGAAAAGAAAAAAATAATTAAATAGGGTGGGCTAATTGGTGAAAAATAATTTTCAGATTATGTACAACTTAGGCCATATTAGGTAAGGGCTTCAAACGTGGGCCATTTTTTGATGGACTGTTGGGCAAGTGACAAGGAGCGATAATTCCCCCAATAACTTTTTGTTGTCTTAGAATTGGTGAAAAACCAAAAGTTTGGGGATTATATTAGCTTATATAAAAGTTAAGGGTACTAATGTGTCTTTTGACTTTAAGAAATGAGGGTGGTAATGACACATTTCACATTTCAGGCGCATAGTAAAGCTCTCAAAACTACAAACATAAACTAACGTGCGCACAGTGCGTAAATAAACCTCCTCGGCGCCAACTATTGAACTTATCGACAACACAATTGTATTCACAGTAGTCAGTAACCTGAATTTATTTCCTCTCTCAATTGGGTTTTTCCAATAGCCATGAATTCATCAATCTTGTTAGTTGAAATCTCAAAATATCAAAAATAGCATCAATTCTTGGCCAATTCTTGAAACCCCAAATAATGTCAATCATACCCCAGAATTCATTTTATTTCAAGAACCCAAAATTTTCAACCTCATTACACCTAAAACCCTTGAAATCCCCTCTATATTTCCCTACAGAAAAACCCAATTTGCTAAAAATTAAATCTTTGCAATGCCATCAATGGAAAATTAAGGCCTTTGAGTCAGTGGGAACTGTAAAGGCTCAATCTTTAGCTGAATTTGAGTTCAAGAACCCAATATTTTCAACCCCTTTAGACTTTAAACCCTTAAAAAACTCTTTATGTTTCCCTACACAAAAACCTCATTTGCTAAAAATTGAATCTTTACAGTGTCATCAATGGAAAGTTAAGGCCTTTGAATCAGAGGGAAGTGTAAAGGAGCAATCTTTAGCTGAATTTGAGTTCAATATTGATGCTTTCCTTTCGATTCTTGAGTTTTTGTGTTTGTTTTCTTCAGCTGTGGTAGCTATTGGTTTTGCTGTGAATTCTTGGTTTTTGGGGTCACAGAAGTGGTTAGGGAATAGAGTATTAGCTGCACAATGTGTTGTGTTAGTTGGTGGAGTGATCGTTGGTTCTGTAATTAGGAGAAGGCAATGGAGTAGGATTTGTATGGTTGAATTTTCCAGGCCAGGGAGTGGTTTTAGAGGGGTTAATTTGGTGGAGAGGATTGAGAAATTAGAAGAAGATTTGAGGAGCTCAGCGACGCTTATTCGGGTTCTATCGAGGCAGCTTGAGAAGCTGGGAATTCGATTTCGAGTTACAAGAAAGACTCTCAAAGATCCGGTTACTGAGGTAACAATGTTATTTTAAGCATATGTGATGAATAATGTAGAGGTCAAATGGATAAGCATTGTGTTTGTGCTAGAAAGTTTTTATTCAAATGATCAGTCGATGATTGGTTCATTGCCTTTGATTCCGATAACTTGATTTTGAACTATGTCCATGTATTCCTAGTTGATATCGATAACTGAAGTTTCAGAAGTTAGACGTTGTCACTAACTTTTGGTCTTCAATGTTGCTGCATTCTTGAGGAATGAATTAAGTGCAGCATGTAAGTTGGAGTTTGGGCAGTGGATGGATAATTGGTTTTAAAAGTGGATGCTTTGGTTGCATTTATAAATGTTGAAGTGACTAATTAGGGATTTATAGAGAAATGAATCAGAAACCATACTAGTAGCTTTGAGATTAGTTGCAAAAAAAGTTTTTTCTGGAAGTAGGGAGTGGGGAACGAGAAAACTATGGTTGCAATATTTGTATCTATTATAAGTCATAAAATATGATGTAGTTGACCTCTTACTCTGAATTTCTTTTGCGCTAATCTTGGATGATATTATAACCTTATCAAGAAGCTGGAAATCCATTATAGCGACCAAAAGTTGATCTCGTCCTATGTCTGTTTGTTCTCTTATGGAACTAACTTGTAACGCATTGGTATATCTGTTTGTTTGTTTACGGAACCTACTTGTAAATCATCAAATTATTGGGTGAAACGAGCATTTATATTAGTATGGCTCACTTATCCAAAGTAGGACCAACAACTACCGGAACACCAAAAGCGGACTTGGGAAACTTAAATATGAGAAAATAACTGACACACTGGGCATATGCTACAGTTGTAAATCCGTGGAGAAGATTCTGCATGTTTAAACCTCAGATGCTTTATCATGATAATGACTTACCTCATGTTTTTTCTTTTGGTAAGAGTTGCCTCATTTAAATTTTTGAATGGAATGGATACAGAGGATTCACATAGCGACCCCATCAAATGTGGGATTGAGGCATAGTTGGTTAATTGATATTTCTATAACTTTGTCCAAGAAGCTTACATGGTGCTCTTCTCTTTAAAAGACGAAAGAGCCCCCACCCCCAATTGAAACCGTAGAGTAGGCATCTCCGTTTGATTTATGCAAGCTGAACCAAGTAGAGACAACTTGTTGAGGGGTATCCCAATCTATACTCAGCTGTCATTCCTATACAATGTCACCTTGCATTTAAGAGAGAAAAGATCCCTCAGAAGGGCAAGATTAATGCTTCCCTTGATGGGTGAAGCTATATGTGCTTTAGCGAAATTCTCCCTTTAGACAATGAGGTGCAAAAGCGCAAAATGATCTATAAAGGAGCGGTCGGCTTTTTGAAATTAAAAGAGGAAAAAGGAGGAAGTGTAGGGCCTTTTTGCTATTTGACTATTAGGGCTCCTCTCCGTGTACATTTCAGCATTCTCTTGTCGTATTTCTTCTTTTCTTCTAGAATATGTCGTGCATTTTCTTCTATTATTATGTTTTTCTACTTTTGGTTTATCTCATTCTTATTTGTCTTTTTTAACTACTACTTTTCTTCTTCTAATATTGCTTTTGAGAATGTACTCTTTCTTCTTCTAGTATAGAACTCTTCCTTTTCTTTTGCTATTTCTGATTCTGATTTTCTCTCTTCTGCTCCCTTGTTTGAGTTGCTAAGGTTGTTAAATATGAAATTGACTACTGCAAATTGCTTCTTCTTTATGCTTGATTAATTGAAAATGAAAAATCCGTAGTTTTAGTAGCAAGTTGATGTTTTAAGTAAAACTTCGTAACTAATAATTGTTTTACTTTCGGTAAATTCTGCATTTCATCTTGAAAAAGTGCGAGTTTTGCTTCTCAATTTTCACTAAAAGCCCCAAGTGCCTTGTCGTTTTTTTTTGGCGCTTTCACTTTTAATGACACTGCTCTTTGTTCTAAAATAACTTCTAAGCCATTTCCTGCAGATCCTTCCTCTGTGTGCTATATTATACTCTAGCCTTTGTGTGATTCTTTTTTCTTTCTATCCAGACTGCAGCATTGGCCCAAAAGAACTCAGAGGCCACTCGAGCATTGGCATTGCAGGGTGAGCGTCTGGAGAAGGAGCTCGGTGAGATACAGAAGGTTCTGCTGGCAATGCAGGTAAAGTGCTGTTTAACTACTTTTCCAAGATTCACATGCTTATTTTAAATTGCCTTAGGGACATTATTTTTCTGGAAAAGTTTCCCTGGTAGATTAACTTCTTTAAGATGATAAAAGAATGCTCACATCAGACAATTCCTCTTTTTTTCGTTAGCATACCATGTGAGGCTTTACTTTTAGGTTCACTCTACATCTCACCTCTTGGGTGATTAGTGGCTGTCAAAGGTTATACCATTTGGACAATGTTGTCTTTCTACTTTTTCTTGCGTGGAACAGTAATTTGGAATTCAATCATCATCTACTCTACAATCTACACTGTTTTGTGCATGGTGAGTCTTAGTATAGTAGAACTCTAGAGAATCTGGTTTGGTAATTCTGGATCTTAAATGAACGGATATATGGTGAAGGCATGTCTTTGACATAATAAACATGAAAGTGAAGAAGAAAGAGTGGAAAATATAAGAAGTTTTATGGTTACTCCATAGATCTTCTAGACGCAATCTATGCTGCTGTAGATTGCCATTGCAGGTAGAATCTCATTCCGCTAAGAAAGAAAGCAGAAAAGGTTATTTCTTCATAGTTTAGCTTAAAACTTTTAACAATTGCGAGCAAAAGGAAATGAACAAGATCTGGAATAATGTATATTTCTAGTCTGGTATCTGCAGTTTGGTATGATCCGAGGGTCTATCGGAAATAGCATCTCTACCTTCACAAGGTAGGGGTAAGGTCTGCGTACACCCTCCCTAGACCCCACTCGGGAGAATTACTGGGTTTGTTATTATTGTTGTTGTTATCTGCAGTTTGGTAGGAAAATATTGGTGCAGTTTGGTAGGAAAATATTGGAACAGAGGATTTTCCAACCATTGTTTGACTTGCGTTCCCTTTCTCTTATCATGTTTTCTTTTCCGTCTTTCTTTCCTTTTTGTGTTCTTTTTCTGGGCTCTTTGGAAGTTCAATAATAACAGTGGTAATTTGATCCTTCTCTTTTCAAGCTTGGAAAAAGTTGTTTTACTGGAAAACGAAAGAGGATGAATAGGAGCACTATTGAAGAAATTTTCATTTTTGCACTCCATCTTTAGTTGATTATGATTAAAAAAAGGGGGGCAGCACGGTGCACTAAGCTCCTGCTATGTGCGGGGCCTGGGGAAGGGCCGGACCGTAAGGGTCTTTAGTTGATTACGATATTATGAATTAAAAATTATTAATAGGGAATACCAAAAGGTGCGAGGAAACATGTTCTAGCGTAACCAATATAATACATCTGTTAATTGCACTTGTAACATCGGAAATGAAAAAAGATTTCATATGGGTATAGCTTTATTTTCCTTTCACTTTCTTGTTCGTTTCATGTTGCTTTTGTTGTTGTAGTAGTAGTGAGGGAAGATGGACAAAAGAGAGTTGAGTCCCTAATTCGAATATGATACCATATACGATGGAGAGGGTCCAAGCCTTGAGCATGGAGTGTCAACAACCATAATATATTCAACTGTTTGGTAGCTTTTTGTTTGGGTGCCTAATCTTACATATGCGTACTTTTGCCAAACTCGTTTTGGCATTTTGACAGTAATATAACTTCATCAGGGCAAAGCTAAAGTAAAGACATCTTAAGCAGCTATGATTTGTTTCAAAAGTTGTGTTAGTTGTCTTCATCTGATTACTCATCTACAGGAGCAGCAACACAAACAACTCGAATTAATTCTTGCAATTGGGAAAGCTGGAAAGTTATTCGAGAACAAGCGAGGACCTAATCAAGAACCAGCTCAGAACACAAATGATGTATCTAATACAGCCATTGATGGAGTTCCACAGTTGGAAGTGAATCGACTACAATCTTTGAAGGGACAGAGAGAAACCACCAACGACAGATGCTAGTTTCTGTATAAACGACGAAAGGGCATTGCATTGCTGGTGTTAATGGTTGAAGATTGATGGATATGCGAGGAATCATACCCTTTCACGTATTGATTTCCTCCTAATTTTTGAGATCAGTGTCTCGTGGGGAAGAGGAAAGACGAGAAACGGGAAATATTCTTGTTCGCGTTAATTTGACAACGTAACATTGTGTATTAAGAAACACCATTCCATCTCATGCCATTTCTGATATGTTTTGAGGATCATTAGAGGTCAAATTTTGTTGGCAAGTACTTCACTATTTTCTTATTTTATAAACACATTGTGAGAAATGGAAATGTCTGTTTATATTTTCTGGAATTGCAATATGAGATTGGAGAAGTCCACAAATTGTTGCTTCAAGGGAAAAAAAAACAAAAGATTCCCTGATTTACAGCTGCTAATTAAAAATTAGCCACAATTTCAAGAGTAATCGAAATTTAGTAATTTTTTCATATAAAAATAAAATTTGGACAGAAGCACTCTTAAAAATCCGAAAAAATTCAGCATAATATACCGGAGTTCGAATTTTTTACATATGAGATTCTAGCATAATGTGCTGAGTTCCAACATAATATGATGTGAGTTATACGCAAGAGCTTTATAATCTAACATATTATGTTGGAATTTTTTGTGTTTCAGTTAGAATATTTTTGTCCAGATTTTATCCGGAGGCAGAGCCAAAGTGGGAGATGCGCATTATGCAGAACCGCTAGCTTTTGTTCAAACTTTGTATTTTTCTTTAAAAATTTGTTGAATATATACAAATTATTAATTTATAACCCAGTAACTTAAGAAGATTAAAATTTTGAACCCACAAGCTTCAAATCCTGGCTCCGCTTCTAATTTTATCTTCCTAGACTTGTAGGAACTTGTAATGTGATACCTTATACATTGCCTGTGTCTTTCTCCCCTTTGATTTCAGTAGCTTTAAGCCTTTAACGAAATAGGCTTACAATTTTCCTACTAAAGGCAAATGTAAAGTATATTTTTCAGAAAACTTGGTAAGCATTTTGCTAATTTACAATTAATAATTCCCATTCAGAAAGCCATTGTCCCTTCAATAATTATTCCTACTCTTGAGATCAATAAAAGTGATTGTCCGACTCACTTTAATTTAGCGATAAAAGCGCGACGTGTAACACATCACGAACTGAAACTCTATCGTGAATCATAAAATTTGATATTTAAGTGAAAAGAAGTCAATTAAGTGAATTAGGAAAGAATTGAGCATATTATAATGTGAACTCTAGAAAATTTCTCGATTACAAAAAGAAATAATCAATAAAAATAATGAGTTAGAAGATTGTCAATTAAAACTTAGTAGGCGTTTGGACATAGAAATTGTAATTTTTGAAAAAGTTAAAGTCGAAAAATGGTATTTGGAATATGAAATTATATTTGGACATGCATTTCACTTAAAAAACGTTGCAATTTTGTGAGTGAGGAAAAAAAATCCGAAAAAATAGTTTTTGAAAAACTAATATTCGAACTTTCTTCAAAAATTTACAAATTTTCATAGACACACATTTTTGAAAAAAATCTTTGAAAAAAAAATCATGGACAAACGGGTCCTTAAATTCCCTGTGTAAAAATGGCCATTGACCATTGTGAGGGACTTAGAAATGTCAATACGACGACGTCGTATCACAGTGGTATACTCACTTGATCAATACACTGAAACTAGAAGGCTAAAGAAGAAAACAAGAACAGAAACTTAAGCAACCCCACGAGAATGGAAGGACTAAGGAAGCTAGAAAATGTACAGAAAATTATACAAATGATGCAATCTCATGGAATTATTAGCGACACCCAAAATGCAAATTCTCTTCGTTTTCTTGCTGACCTAACACTTCTTTTGGTAACTCCCTTCATTCTTAACTTACTCTTTTAGTGTTCAATTTTTCATATTCTATATATTTTGAGACAAACAACAACGTTGGGTTTTCATGCATAATAGTAAAAATTAGTAACTGTAAAATATTTGAAGCTGTAAAGTGAATAGTGATAAAAAAAAAAGGATCTTTGGTGTGGGGTTTGGTTGTTATGTTGAAAATTTGAACTCAATTATGTTCCTTTTCATACCCCTTTTGGTTTTAAGTGAACCTTTTATGGTTAATTATGTGGCTTAGTGCCTATGTTATGGGTTCATTATAGCTGGACGCGAGATAACTGCATATTTTGCTACATTCTTCCACCAAATGTGGAATTTGATATCTTTTTATTTTTATTTTAAATAACCATGGAATCCTGGCTAGCTTGGGCTCACCTAGGCTAATTCCACGTGCTACGTCCTCTCACCAGGACCACGTGCTACGTCCTCTTACCAGCTGTAAGGTCCTGTAAAAGTTTGTCAAGGATTTAAGGTTCTATAGTGCCAAAGTCAAGAAGTGCTCGGAAGCGAGCCCCGGTACAGATTTGTGGACTGTGCAATGCATAGTGAAGTAGGTAGGAGAATTAGCAGAAAAGGGCAATTCTGCTGTCATTATGCGGACCGCCGATCAGTTCCACTGACGAAGAACCATTGCGGATCCATGTTGCTACTTTTGGATTTATGTTCTATTATGGGTATAGTCGGTGCCTTGTCAGTGGCACCTATTTATTGTATTTCATGACGTCTTAGAGGCTCTGTAGACAGTGTGGGTGATGTTATGTATGGAAATATGTTATTTCTTTCATGTTCTATTATGAAACTTATGCATGGCTTGTGACCAATTTTACTCTATAAACTTTGAAATGTTCTAATTAATGGAAGGCAACTATTTTTAAAAAATAGTTCATTTTGATCCTCTGAATCATGCATGGGAACTCAAGGGAAGGATATGGAATGAAGGCTTGCTTGACCACCGCAAGGGTGTTTAAGCGCCGGTCCCGCTCCCCAAGGTCGGGGCGTGAAACCAACACTGGTGCGGGATAACTTTGTCCACCAAGGCTTGAACAAATGAGAAGAAATCACCTGGTATTTTTGCCTCCGCTTGGATTTGAACCTAAGACATCATGGTTCTCAACCCACTTCATTGACCACTAGGCCACACCCTTGGGTACAAAATGTGGAACTTGTCATCTATCATTGATTATTATTGATGTTGTAACTATGTACAAGAAGAGTGGATGCTTTTCATCCGCTGTTTGTAGATTACCGAATATTTATGGAGCAAGGATAATGGACTCATACTTCTAACCAAGTTAACATGTAGAGAATAGAGCCAATTTACCTTGTGTGTTAGTAACACGAAGACTAGGAAGGTGTTACGTCCACCCTGTAAGCCTAATGAAGGCTTAAACAATGAATCACCTTCATCTCAATGCCTTCAGATACATTTCAGTGCTGATCATTGGCAGTACATTCTGTTGCTTGTTTTTTCTTTTTTCTTTTATCCCTTGTGCTCCTCTTACGTTGGCAGAGTGGCATTGGTTGGTGAATTTCTCTTTGTTACCTATATAGATATTGCTACATTAGCATATTTTCTAGTCACTTTCTAATCTCAAACGTATTCCAATGAAGGTCTCACCATGCCGTGAGCTTGACATTGATGCCAAGTGCCAATTGATTATTGACCATGTGCCGAAGGTTTGCATTAGCTTTTAGATACTCTTTCAATTTTGTGAGAAGATGCAATGATCATAAATATTGTTTCTTTGGCAGTTTTCACATGCGTTCTTTGAGGAAACAATGCAGTGCACAAGTGAGCAAGGTTTGTTCTTCAGAAAAGATGACATGAATTGGGCAGAATGCAACTTTTTGGAGCTTCTTTAATTATTTTTTTCCTCTGAGATTTTAGTCCATTTATTTATGGTAATTGATTGTTCCTTAGTATTTAGATAAACACTTGGTACTAACTAGATTCTAAAGATCGCTGATCCAAAAAAAGCTAAGAGATAAAGAGTCCAAAATGTCCAATTTATATTTCCTGCTTACTTGCTTGATGATGTTTTCTAATGGAAATGCATTGTGTTATTCATGCACTTTCTTGTTGTCCAACAGGAAGCATGATGATGTTTTCTAATGGAAATGCATTGTGTTTTTCATGCACTTTTCTTGTTGTCCAACAGGAAGCATAACCAGTTCAAATATGAGATAAGTTGGTTATTTTTTCTGTTAGTAATTGCTAGGTGCTACTAGTATTCGTCGATCTTGACTTTACTTACATCTGTACCTATTGCTCGGTTACTCCTCTTATTTCTCAAAACTAGGACTTTCTTCTACAGAAGCATGAGGTTTCTACCTTGATTGTTCGGATAAAACCTACATCAGTGACTCACTAATGCAATGAGCACAAATGTGAAAAGTAGTAGGGTTGTGGGGCAGACACAAAATCTTTATTCTACAATCTGAATATACCGAAATACCACAAGTTTGCCTTATCAGCTGAAGACAATTGTTTAGTAATAAGATTATATGAGATGTGCTAGTTCCCTGATATCCACGTGAGAAGTTTTACCTATTTTTCTATAATTAGCTTGTTTTCACCTTAAACTTGCTTGCAGGTGTTGAACAAATGGTAAATACTGGTTCACTTGATTGTGATGATAAGGCTATACCTGCTCCATTTCAAAAGGGCTTCAAGGATACGGCAATGATTGGGCTTGACGCTATGCGACGAGCTAATTCTACATTAGAAGATTTTGTGAGTACTGAATTCCCTTGTGGATCTTAAGGATCGCTATTTGTCGTCTCATTTTTGGTCCGTGGACCTTTCTCTGCACATCATTGGCAAATAACCCAATATGCTGAAGATAAAATTAGCGGTTGATCATAGGGCTCTGATGTCTTGTTTGTGTATTTGGGAAATTTACTCTCTGTCTGATCTTATATACTTCTTCAACCTATAGAAGGAGAAGAACTTCCTTTCTACTTTTACGGTATTGCTAATTATCAAGAACATTTTTAAATTCTTATAAAATAAAATAAAAGAACCGAGAATGGTGTAATGCTCTTAACCTTTGTACTGCCCAATTTTCACTCTTGAGTCGAGAGTTATCTGAAGTTAAACTTTTGTGTTTCTGTTATCTCAAACAGCTATTGTTAATGACTTAATTCATTCCATTGTCTTTACTCTTAAATCATATCGGAACATATTGCATATACGTTGACATGCAAGTCATGGATATTTCTCTCTAACACCAAGCATCAAGTTTGATGTTAGCCGACCTAATTTTCTGTTTTCTATTGGACATTGGTTCTAGGGACTTGTAGAAATAATAAGCTGATGCTGGTTTGGTGTGCCAGTGCAGGTCTTATTTTATGTTTCACAAAATGGATCCTCACCAGCCGCAGTCTATATTCAAATACCTACCAATACTTTCATTCACTGAAAGTTACATTTATCAGGTAAAGATACTTATAAACTGCTGATCATTTTGGTTTCAAGCATTCCTGTGAAAACTAGCATGTGACATATCACCGTACTTGTCGATCTACAACTGTTACTTTTTCCCTTTGCTGTTCGCTCCCTTTTTTGTCCTTTGTTTGCTTGGTTTGTATTGAAGAACTCTACTAGGGTAATGATTTATTTATTTTCCCCTTGGGTGGCTAAGAAGGTAAACAACCCAACCTCATCTTTATTCGAATATTTTCTTCGTGCAGTTGGATAATTTGAATGAGAAACTGCTGCAGCCATCAGTGGGGAAGGATCGATCATCGTATCGTGGATACAGTGTGGTAATACTACAGACATTAGAAGGATTCTCGTTAGTAATATTTAAGGAGCATTTTGGTCATTACTTGCTTATAACTGAAAATAAATTACCAATTGCTTGTTTATGTGTGTTATATTAAGTGCAGGAAACAAAAGAAAGCTGGGATCTTACATCTGTGAGAATGATGACCAATGATCCGTTTAGACCACTTTGTAATGTACTTGAGCATCATGGGCTTTTGACAGACAGGTCTAACTTCTTACTTATTATATTTGTTTTCCTTTTCTACTCTGTTTGTGAGAGGGAATGGTAGAGAAGAGCTTTTCTATGGTGCTGAAAATCGTTTTTGGCTCCAAACCATGCCTGAATTATATTTTCTCCGTTTAATTAGAACTTCTTTGTGTACTTCACTTTCTTTGAGGGCAGATTCTTTGTCCACAAGACATCTTTTTCTCTCTTTTCCTTTTTCGTTTTGTCCTTGTTTCCGGTAGATTTTCGCTGAAGTTTGACTTTTGCTTTTCTGGTAAAGGTAGTCTCCTCAAACTACTCTATAGATACTTTACTAGTCAACTTTCCATGGTGCGGGTGATTCTTAAGCTGTGACCTTCAAGTGTTTATTCACTTTGTCTAGGATAAGAGAAGAAATGAAGAGTGGCGTAGAATATTGGTCTTTGGAAAGAAAGCTATGTCATCCACTTGGGCGTAAACAAGAGGTATTGATTCATTATGCTGAACAGGTCGAGCAAATTCTCACAAGTTGTCTTAACTACCATCGCTTCCTGATTAACATGTATTACGGGACAGTCTTCTTGAACTTAATTGCACCAATGTCCTGACCTGTTGTAGTCACTATGTTGTGGTCTATTCATTACTTGATTTATGGCGTCAAAGGAGTCCTTAAAAGGAAGCACATTCAATATACAAACGCACGTGCTGGATCGGTGCTGTATAAAATATTTGACCCATTCTAGCATAATGTCGGCAGAGTTCGCTCTACGATTCTATATGACCCAAGGCTGGCAATTTTATGGGATAGGTCTTGTTTAGATAAATGGATTAGGAAATGAAGTCACTATCTTTTCACGTGTGTGGGGAAGTTTTGAAAATCAATGAAACTGAACTTTATTAGTGCCTGAAATATATGTATATTTCATTTCTATGTCAGAAGATTAGCCATGACTTAAAAATGCTTTCCTTTAACTGCGACTCCTTTCCTCTTTGAGCTCCTATTATATTTTGATCGATCATTCTATGAACAGATTTCAGTTGAAGATGTCATGAGAGCAATTCATCTGAAGTCCTTCGATTATCGAGTGCTGAATCTTCTGTTGTATCAACTGAGAGGTGAAAAGGTATAATTAGGAAGCATTGCTCATTGATCTTCTTTAACGTTTTCTTTTGACTAGAAAGCTATTTTTTGGTGCCTTTTTCTTTGGAATGTAACTTCAGTACAATTTTCCTTTCTTCTGTTCAGAATTTCTTCATAAAAGAATTAAGTATACAAGAAGTTTGAAGTGCTAAAAATGTTTATAACTTACCATTTGCATATCATACCATTGGTGCTTGACAGTATGCTGTAATCATTTTATAATGTGATTTTGCATTCATTTGTTTCTTTGAAACTGTTCTGCAGGTCAATGATATGCATATGGAATTTTTGTCAATATCAGAGTTCCTTGTGGAGGTATCTGATGACTTGTAAGTATTTGGTGAATTATGTTAATTACCTTCATTCCGGCAGAAGAAAAGTTTACGTGCTTCCCAACTAATACGGGATTTCTGATTTTTTTTGATGCATTTGATACGATTAATCTGGATGATATTACTTATGAATGGGCCAGGTTTGACTATGAGGTGAATCATTTAATTTCAGTGATTTGTTTACCCTGTTAAGGCTTTCATGCGGAAAGATTAATTATTCTTTTTTTTTTGGGTAGGATGATGTGTTAGAGAATAATTTCAATATTCTGCGCATGTTCAACAGAATTTATGGGGCTTCTGCAGCACCAGCCATGCTGGTATGATTACAGATTTATCGTCTATGCTTCAATTAAATCTCTAAAACGAAGCTTGTGAAGCGTTTGGAAGAGTCCAAAGTGTTTTGACCAATAAAGCTTGAAGTGTCAACTAAACTCTAAAACTTTCCCCGGGGATGATAAATGTTTTAAAAGTTATCATGCTACCTGTGATCAACAATATATATATATATATATATATATCAAGTACTTCCGATATTATACTTTCTTGCAAAAGAGCGTCTTAAATATAAAAAAAATGATTGAACCTCAGTAAGTGTTAGCCTTTCCAACTCAGGTTGAATCCATTTCTAGTTATCAACTAGGCGCGGTGAAATAAGTTTTCGACAAAATATATTATGAGAAGCACTTGAAAGAAAAATTACTTGGGATTTGTTTTCTTGATTTGGAAGGTAACTGAAGTGAATTCCAGGCAAAAGTTATAACTGAAGCTGAAGAGAAGTATGATAATCTATTGAAAGCTCTTGATCCGGAGCTCTCTCTGAACTATCAGAAGAGATGCGAAGAAGCTACTAAAGAAGGTAATATTCTGGCTCATTTATTATTCTTAACGCGTCCAACTATTTGGCCATTCAGCTTGTTTCTTTATTGTCAGGTTTTTGAATCTATTCTTTAAGTGTTATTTAACCATCTTCCTTTTGATTGTTAGGTGGGAAGACGTCAGGTCCGTCTCTTGGAACATGGACTATACCTCCTGTTATCGATGATGAGGATCTGTATCGATCCAATGTTTTGAATTCAAAGCCATCTACTATACCAGAGTGGACTACCTAAGTGAAAATACTGGATCCAGAATTTAGACATGTGATCAATTCTCTTTAAGAGCTTTGACGACACAACTTATTTCTCTTCACAACTAGTTTGCTGTTGAGATGATTCAAGGCCAAGCAACCAGGAACTAGCTAAATGTTAACTGAAACAATAGAAGGCTACAAATATCAGAAGTTATTCCTTTGGAGGTCACCATCTAATCCTTCACATCCTCATGTACCATCATAAAAGGTACTAACTGATATTCAAGATTGCTACTTTATATTTTAAAACTATTTATTTAAAAAAGCGAAAAACGATCGCTACTTCTTGTTCTAAAATTAGAGCTTGTAATTTAAAGATTTTTGCTTAAAGGGTTTTTGTTCCTTACACCCTCTTGTGACTGGTGTTACAATTTGTATTGGTGTATTATTTATTTATTTCATGACCCTCGATAGGAAAGGGTGGAGGTCGAGAATTAGGGTGGAAGGTTGACAGGTAGTCGTTCGTGTCTCTTAGTCTTACCAGTAGTACTAGTACTATTTTTGTATTTTCTGATTCTGGTTCTTTATTATTACTTGTTGTGCCATTTGCTCCTATTACATTGTTGTTACTACTGTTTGTTACTTTATTTTCATCGTTCTTTGAGATGAGGGTCTATCGGAAACAACCTCTCTACCTTCACATGGTAGGGGTAAGGTCTGCGAACACATTACCCTCTCCGGACCCCACATGTGGGATTGCACTGGGTTTGTTGTTGTTGTTGTTGTATTATAAATTTATTTATTTATTTGGATTTGGGAACAAGAATAATAGCATCCTCTGGTCTGGTGCTTGTATGAAAGAGAGGACATTACACATGTGAGTGAAGGTGTAAAATTATGTTTGTATGCTAAATATTCTTCATGATCGACAAGTATCCAGAAAGCATCTTCAGACTTCAGCTTCTGCTATACTGCAATAGCCAAGAAGAAAAACCAAATATACTGAAACAAATCTTTTTTTGGTGGGGGCTTTAATCTTATGTCTTTTTCTAGGATGAGTCAACAAAAAGGAATCTTTTTTCACCTTTTTCTAAGATGGATGGCCAGCCATTCTGTAAAATTCCTTATCTTTTGTTTGACTTCTATGGACATTGAATCTGGATGACAATTATTATTACTATAATTTTGACTATGGTTTCACCATTTACATTGTTTATTCACTTCTTGACAGCTGGTTAATTTCAATTTGAAAATATTGTTCTTTGCTTTGGAAGGTTTTGGTTTGATTTATTTAAAAACTTTTTGGTTTCAGCAAAACAAGTTCAAGTTTCCAGATTGGACTCAAAAGCTATTCCTTAAGGGGCAAAGCTAGCTGTTAAGCTAACATGCTAATGAATCATTAGTCTAATGGTAACAAGCTTAGACCTTAAAAATAAGAGATATTTGGATCAAAACTTGCTTACAAATGATTTTATCAAATACCATGTAGTAGGGAGAAATTAGTATCATCCTTGGTTGGGTGAAAAAATAAACAACATAGTCAGCATATTCCTTCAAGTGGGGTCTGAGGAGTTTAGTATGTAAGCGGTCCTTACTCTACCTTACAGATAGAGATAGGGAGACTGTTTTCGAAAGACCCTCGGCTCAATACAATAAAATTACAACAGTTATGATAGAGAACTACGACAAACGAAATAGTAACAACAATCAGAAAAATAAAACGAAGCAAAGAGAATCTCGGGTTAAAAAATATCGATCTAAAGCACAAGGATAACACTAGTACAAAAAATGATGAGGGTTGCATGACGTGGCTTAATGGTCAATTAAGTGGGCGTTTGGACATAAGAATTGTAAAATTTCCAAAAAAGTGAAATTTCTTTTCAAGTGAAAATGGTATTTGAAAATTAGAATTGTGTTTGGACATGAATATAATTTTGGGCTGTTTTTGAATTTTTGTGAGTGATCTGAGTGAATTTTGAAAAATAATTTTTTGGAGTTTAAAATTTTCGAAAAATTCCGAAATTCATCTTCAAGTGAAAAAAGAAGATTTCATGGCCAAACATTGATTTCGGAAAAAAGTACAAATTTTCAGAAAAGGTGAAATATTTTTTATGGCCAAACGGGCCCCTAAGTAGGTGAAAATCATAGGAAATCAAGCTTCAAATCTTAGCAGAAGCAAAGAAACTAATAGGGATACCCGATACTTGTATTGGTGGAAATAGCTGATATTTGATGGTAGATAGTCCAGTAATATGTAAGCTAACCTGGACACCACGCGATTATAAGAAAGAAAAAGGAAAAAAGGCTAAGAGAAGAGAGATAAGGGTCATTTCATTTAAGAAGCTAAAGAGGAGGAAACTAGAAGAAAAATACATATTCAAGTAATTTTTTTCATAATGACTTCAAAATTAGGGAAAGCTAAGAAAGTATGCCTCTTTTATATCCCTTGCACTTGCACCAAACTCCAAATAAAGTAAATGATGAATACTTTACGTGAAGGAATTAAAAAAATTAATTTCTCTTGTGGAACTAGACATGGTAAAAGGGGTTCTCTCAAATTAAAATATTTGAAATTAGGACATTGTCCATTTTATATTAGTCATTGTCTTAGTATGACATAAAGTGCAGTTTACTAGCTTTTAGGTCCTGAAAATTAGGCTTTTACTGAATTTTGAAATCAACTCCAAATTTGTCAAACAACATAGTAGCACTTTTGGCAAATTCTCTAATCCTAATTTTGTATGTACTACATTAGTCTATTTGTTCAATTTTGGCCTTAATCTTTATTTAGTGCTACACTAGACTCTAGTGGTGTTTGACTTTAACATCGATTTACTTAGGGTCCGTTTGGCCATTAAAAATTTCATTTTTTTCCCGATTGTTTTCTCCACTTTTATTCGGAATTAGTGTTTGGTCCTGACAATTCCGAATTCAATTTGAAGTTGAATTTCGTAATTTTTCAGAATTTGAAAAACTCCAAAAAAACTATTTTTTATAATTCACGCCAAATCACTTACAAAATTCAAAACCAATTTCAATTTATATTCATGTCAAAAAACAACTCCAATTTTTAAATACCATTTTCAATTTGAAAAGAAATTTTACTTTTTTTTTATAAAAATTTCACAATTCTTATGTCCAAACGCTCTCTTCATCTATTGTTAGAATAGGGTGTGGCCTAGTGGAATTATAATGGGTATGCTGTTGGTGTATACTGGGTATGTTGATGTGGCCTAGTGGTTTAGGAAGTTAGATGCGAATCTTTCGTTACCCGATATCTGTGTTGGTGAAGATAGCAAATATTCTGTGAAATTTGTTAAAGTGCACACAAACTTATCCGGACACTACCATTAAAAAAAATAAGTATTTCAAGAATACGAATGACCCAAAAGCAAAAGAAAAAATAAGCGGCATGAAATAAGAGAACAAAGTGAGTACAAGAATCAATTGGCACACTATGATAGTCTACTTAGTATTTAGACCTGTCCACCGATTTATTTTTTTATTTATATATTCGATTCCCAAATTGGAAACTCCTTTTTCCCTCCATAAAATTTTCATTTTGTTTTTTTATTTTGTGTACGATATTCAATTATATCAACTATGCACAAAAATCAATTCAGCAGTGTTTACTTTTTGACACTTAGCTATGACAGAAAGTTGAAAAAAAGAAGCTATAAGATAAAGTTCTTTTCAATCAATCATTCATATTATAAGGTGATAATCAAAAATCATTTAATCAATCAATAATTAACCATTTCTTAATCCTAAAATATTCAAGATAAGTTAATGATCTTTGGGTTAAGGTTTTTAACATTGAACCCATTGTATTTTTAAAATTATGGGTTCGTATCTACTATGTGTTATAATTTTAATGAATTTTTAAACATAAATTTATATTCTGTAACGAAAGTACTAGGTTCAGTTGAATCCGGTATCAAAGGACTAGATCCGCCCCCGGGCGTCTTGATGTTTCATAAATCTTATTTGGCATTTGCTCATTTTTTTCCTCTTCTAAATACTATTGACTCACGTTCTTGTATTTCTTTAATATTCTATCATAGTTAAATTATTTTTATGTTGACGGTCTACCTACAACTAGGGTGTTCAAATCGAGCCGGAAAACCGACACATGAATATACCCCTAACTACAACAACTTTCCTTTTACCTATGTTTGGAATTGTCCATTATATACTCATATACACATAGTTAAAGTGACATATGTCAACATAATAATAATAATAATATGTTGAAAGAATTGATGCAAAGACTCATGATTGAGTCCCTAAGTGAAGAAATCCAAGCCAACATTTCAACAAGATCTAAGATGTTCTGTGGCCCACTAAGAAAACATATAGGAAAAATAAATTTTAAAAATAAAGTAGACATGCTTTTTGAACACAAAGTCAAATGTATTATTCTCATGTTTGTCCATAGGTGTCTCTTTGAGGTCCCATGAATAAACTTAGACATAATATTTTGTTGGATTCTGGCTTTCAGTTCACTCTTCCACTTTGTCAATCTTTGCTTTTTCTCTCCGTTTCCCGTTAAGGGTCGTTTGGCTGGGAAACAAGTTATTCTAGAACTGTTATCCCATCCTTCTATAGGGATAAAAATAACATTACAATCCCGTGATTAGTTATGTTGTGATTTTATCCCAACCAAGCATGAGATAAACTGGTAAAGTTGCTGGCATGTTACCAGGGGGTTACGGGTTCGAGCAGGTGGAAACAGCTTTTTGTAAAAAATGCAGGGTAAGACTGCGTACAATAGACCCTTATGGTCCGACCCTTAATGGAACCCCGCGCACAGCAGGAGCTTAGTGCACCGAGCTGTCCTTTTTTTAAATATGGGATAAACACATCTCAAATTTAATCTTAAGATTAATTATCCCTTTTCCCTCGTACCAAACTGGCCATAAGTTGGTGGAGTTGGAGGAAAATCTATCTTCATTTGCTATCTTTATTTCACTACCAAAGTTAGTTTTTAACTTTCTCTTTGTTTTCCTTTTGGTGTTGGAGTTGGTATACAAACCTCTTTTCCCTTTGTCTCTTTTTACCAATTCAAAATAGCCTTCTTTTATGTGCTTTATTTCTTCCTCCTTAAGTATAGAAGTTATTGAGATTTTTGGTCCCCAAAGCAAGATAACTTTGTCCTAAGCTTAGACCACAAAACAAATCCCCCTTTTCATCTTTTCCTATATTTGTGGTCATTGATGAAAAATGAATGAACTGTAAACATAGGTTTGATTAATGGGGTTGGCTATAAATGGTTAAAAATGGACTTGTGACATTGACAATAACTATGGTTAAAATTGTTATAGTCAATGTACATGTAAAGGGGACCCTTGGCGTAACTGATAAAGTTGCTGCCATGACGGGTTCGAGCCGGAGAAACAGCCTCTTGCAGGTG